GGGAGGGGGGCGGAAGACTCCTTACTCTCCTGGATCCGCCAGCGGATGGACTGCGTACTTCCAGTTTATATCTAGCGCTTGTTCACTGTTCTGCTCCTATACCAACAAATCGTCCTATGTTTTGTAACAATTAAAACAAGTTTTAAGGAAAATCTTGTAGGAATTTTCGTATTTTTTTTAGAAAATTCTGAAAAAAATGTTTACTAGCTGCTCATTTGATTGGTGATTCAACAATGAAATTAGGTGTACGATGTAACCGAGTATTTGTCATTCCATCCTGGTGGCGTGGACGAGTTGATGCGTGCTGCTGGTACGGATGCTACGGAGCTTTTCAACGAGTATCATGCCTGGGTGAATTATGAGACAATGCTGAAAACATGCCTGGTTGGTACGTTCAACGGCGATCGAAGTCTTTGTAAGTTTTTGTTTCATTGGAATATTCTGCTGCGAATTGATGTAAAAGCCATTTTTTGTGCACGTTGTACTTATTCGAATTGCCTAAATTAGCTGTAATTCAGGAGGGGAAAGAGGAGGGCGAAAAGAGCCTGTCGCCTATGGAAAGACTTGTTATGAAGGTTGAGAGACAGGGTAACTTGTACGTAAATTTAGTACTTTTAAAGAGAGCGAACACTGATTCTAATGGAGGAAGCAGTGGAGCAAAGATACATAGCATTCAGGATTTTAGTTTTTTAGTTAGTATATGTTTATGAAAGATGTAAGGAAATAAAAAAGGAGAATGTGAATAAAATAAAATTAAAATCTGGATGGGGATGTTTTGGTCCATCAAGTCGCATACATTCTTGTTCAGCGCTGCAACTGGACCTCGTCAGTGTGACGGTTGCAGCGAAAGTAGCATGCGACCATGCGAGAAAGTAAAATCCGATGGACAGTGATATTGTGCGTGCCTTGCTGACGAATCAGCAAATGTCACGTGACAGTGATGGCGTCCCGTTATGAAAATAAGCAGTCCTCTTACAAAAGAATGAATGGGGCATATACATCGGACAGGCGATGCTGAAGATGTGTGGTATGCGGTTCAAAAACGGAAGATTTAGCGTAGCTGTGCTCGGCGTATGGAGCACCCCAGTAGCATTCCCTAACATGGAACATTTGCCTCGATTTGTCTGGTGGTGGAGAGGGGGGAGGGTCATACAAATAATAATTTTGCGGAATCGAGCTGAAAAGTTGAAATTTGGATCATCTTTTAAATAATTTACCTTTCTTTCAGTACGAAATGCAAAGCCATTGGGAACCGGTGATGAAAAAGCAGGTTCAGGCAAAGGCGTTAATTTTGAAACAGCTGAAATAAGGTATCAGTGATTTTCTCATAGGATTTGACTGCTTTTACTTATGGACGGATCCGGGGCGAAAAGAG